CACACACACACACACACACACACACACACACACACACACACACACACCTCTCCCACAGGGTTTATCTCCAGGGTAGGAGACAGTCTAGGAACAGGCTATGAAGAAGCCTTATTCTGCACAGTGAGAGGCTGAGAGGTCTGCCTGGCTGAGACTCACTAACCAGGCGGTGACTGACCATCCAGGGATGCACAGGGGGAATGAATGTGTTTAAAGAGGGAATCAGAGAAACAACAACAAAACCCAGCCAGGTCTCTGAAGTTGCAAAGCCAACTGGAGCTTTAAGGCAGGACTGTGAGAAGGCAGAGGGATGACAGGTCCTGATGGTGCACTGACCCTGTCCCCAGCACTTTCTCAGACCACCATGGGGGTTCCCTCGGGCCCCTGCACTGAGCCACAGCACAGGAGTGCGAATTTCAGGAGACAGTCTCCTCCAGTGCCCACCCCTATCACTCCAGGGCCCCGGGGCCTCTTCCATGGTGCACAGCTCACAGGTGTGTGCCCAGAGGGCTAGACTGGCACCACTCAGACCTCCTGCTCTGCTCAGGTCCCATCCAGCCAAGTCCCAGGCTGCAGAACCACCAACCAGGCTGCTGCAGACACTTCTCAGCCTGGACCCGCTCGCCGGAGATTTTTAGTTTGACGTAGCCGGCCTCTTCCTTTTTTCCTTCATGCAGCCTATGGTGCCTTGTGAGGCCCAGGAACTGAAGGAAACTGCTTTGCTGTCTCAGTTGACCTCATTCTATGTGTCGAAGCTTCTGTTTAATAGTTAATTGAGGCGAGAAATAATCCTACATTCTTGTGCTTTTTTTGCTAGAATTTGGCTAAGAGTCACTAAGTATTCAGACTTCAAAGAGCCATGGGCCAGCTCAGACCTCCTGGATCAAGGACCAGTGGTTAGCCAGATCAGGGACCCTGAGACATGGGCTATGTCAGAGCCTCCCACAGCCCACCAGGCCCTGAGTAGTCATTTGTCGCAAGGGGGCAAGCCTCCCCTAGGAGCCAGGAAGCAGAAACTCGGAGGTGTTTTGCAGACAGATGACACTAGTAATCAAAGATTACTTTTTTTGGAAGTGAGGCCCTGTGGTTTTGGCATTTCTGCCAGGTGCCATTTATCACTGAAGATTTTATTGGACAGCATTCAATTACCTACCCTGCTGGGAGAAGACGAGTTAGAAATAATCCAAACGAAGGCAATTTCCTTCTGCCTTTGAAACTCAGAGTCCAGGCTACAGGCTTTCACCAGAGAAGCTAATTTCTCAAAGAACGATCCCCCACTGGTCTCTTTGGTGCCACCTGGGAACTGGTTAGGAATATAGAGTCACAGTCCTAGTGCCAAGCTCAAGAAGTCAAGAAGCACCGTGCTTTACAAAGATCCCGTTAGGAGGTTCTTAAGTCTATTAAAGTTTTCAACTTTACGGGTTTGCAAGTAGCAATGAGAAAGCCAGATGTCGTCGCTGGTCGAGCTGTAGAACATGGCAGTTTGTGGGATGTAAAGCAAGAATTCGTTTCACGGAATCCCTCGATTGCTCTGTCCCTTCTTAGACCAGTCCCTATCAGGTGAGGGTTGGTTTTTTTGTTTTTTTGTTTGTTTGTTTTGTTTTTGTTTTTGTTTTGCCTGAACACCACTTACAGCTCTGCCTGGGCAGTTTCTTAGGAAAGCTCTTCCTCTCCCAAATACTCAGCTAGCTCATAATCTCAAAAATCTGCTCCAAAGATGGAGGAATGGCTCAGTGGTAGAGCATATGCTTAGCATGTTCAATGCCCTGAGTTCAACCCATAGTTCATGTGCACAATCATCTTCAATACACACATACACACACACACACACACACATGCACGCTCACACACACCTGCTCCAAAACCACCTACTTCTGGTCTTCTAATTGCCTCTTCATTCAGTGCTCTTGTGACTCTGGCCACATTCACTCATTCAACACAATCAGGTATTAGAATCCCCATTATCCACAGAAGATTCCGTCTAAGACCTCCAGTGGATACTTGAGACCATACCAAACCACTTCGGTACCTAGATAGAAAATCTGACAACAAGGCTAGGAAGTGACCAATGAGGTGATGGCTTGAATATACTAGAGAAAGAAAAAAAATCGTATATGCCTAACCTGGGAAGAAGCAGGAAGGCACAAGATTTCATCATGCAACTCAGCTTAAAATTGTTATTAAATGGAAAATTCCAGAAGCAAATAATTTACATTTTCAGACAGCTGATCACTGCTAACAGAAACCATGGAAAAACAAAGCAAAGACACTGTGGAACTACTTCATCTATCTAATAGCCCTATTGCTAAATGCTGAGTGAAACTGGAGAGCCAGAGATATGCCTGCCTTTGAGCTCACCCTTTCTAGATGAGGAGATGAAGGTGTAAAGCCACAGTTGAGCATGACCAGAGCCATTTTGTCTACTGGGGGTACAGTAGCAAAATTGTTACTAATATTGTTGCCATCTCTGAGCTAACAGAAATATGGCCAGAATGTAGCCAAACAACTGACCTCCCAGCTGGACTGGAGCACTTTGAGTTGATTGTGTGTTGTTTCTCTGAGGACAGCTGTGGTCTTCGGCTGATCCCCGAGCAGATGAGAATTAGTGGATATATTTGGGGAAAGGGTAGCGATTCCACCAGCCTGACTATCCAGGTAGGTTCCTGTGCCAGCTCCTCCACTTCCTAAGCATTCTCATCAGCAAGGACTTGATCCAAACAGAGTCAGAGGTGCAAGGGCCATGGGAAAGGGCCTAAAGCAGGTTGTCTAATAGCTTCAGATCTTTGAGAGAAGACAAAGCAGTACATGAAAGAGAGGACAAGATACGAATCGGATCAAGTGCAAAGATATCTTAGAAGATTCGAGAACTAAATTGCCCAGGTGAGACTCAAGCAAAGCCTAGAAAGAATATGGATTTGGGCAGCAAGGCTGGCAGAGGGTGCCCTAGGCAAGACGGCAGAAGGAGGGAGGCTTAGAAGCAAAGGGGGCAAAGATGAATGAAGCAGGTGTGTGTTTGCTTGTGTCTTTTGTTTTTGTTTTATTTTGGTTTGTTTTAGAGAGTGGCATGGTGGCTCAGCGTAGATGAGAAGAAAGATAGGGCCAGAATACAGAAGACCACAAACACACAATGTGGAGTTCAGACAGGAGGTTTTGAAAGTTTCAGAGTTTCCAGTTCTTATTTTGAAGCAGGTACCATTATTACCATTATTCTGTATATATGAGAAAGACCTCGGCTTTGTGGGGAAACACTAAGTTCCCTTAATTTTTTTTTTCTTTTTTCTTTTTTCTTTTTGAAGAAAAAGTGTTTTGTGATTCTGGTTTTGCAGAAGTGGTCACAGATTGCCTGACCTCCCTTGAAGAAACTCCAACCACATCTGCAAACGAGCTAGCCAGGTCAGCAGTCGTGAGAAACATTCTCTATGCTAAAAAGATGACTGGTCTGGGTCAGAATAGGATGTACTTAAAACTCTAAGGCTCTTGGCTCTAGGAAACTGGCGTGTCAGTGTCAGCAGAACACCCCAAACACACATGTACGCGCACATGCACACTCACATACGTCTAGCA